CACTTTTTTCCAAATCCTTTATCCCATTCTAGATACTTATCTATGCATTTATCACTGTGACAAGTTCCTGCTTTACAAGATATCCTGAGAGACAAGTAAGAACAATGTTGTCAAACTCTTTGTCCATACTGACTTGTTATTTCCATATTCCAAGTAAAAGTGTGTTCAGTAAAAACAGAGGTTAGGGCACTCTGAACTAGAAGATGCAAAACTCTCAGAACATTAAACTACTACACTAACAACAAACAGAAAAGACAACATGGATAAACAGAAGTCCTCAAATTATTCACCAAGTTACTTAAAAGTCCAAAAAAGTTATATTTTAACAAATGTCAAAATTATTTGCCTGCTGTAAAAAGGATTACAGCATGCTCCTTTTACACCTTAGAACTTAAAAATTAAGCATTTATCCAAAGGCTATATTCTCCCAGGTCCATTCCTATTACTCCCATAATAATGTTGGTAAAACACATTACACATTTCTACATTTCACTAGCTGAATGAAACAAAGCTTAAAAAAAAAAATCTATCTTTATCCCAAGATTGCAAAGTTGTTTTCAACATAGAAAAATCAGCATAAAGCACATATTAACAGAATAAACAACAAAAACTGCATGATCATTTCAACCCAACTCAAAACAAGACTGGCAGAGTAACTTAAGTGGTAGAGTGCCTACCTAGCAAGCATGAGGCCCTGAGTTCAAACCCCAGTACCACCAAAACAAAACAAAACAAAAACTCAGAAACAGAAGAGAACTTCTCAACCTGATAAAGGGCATCTATGAAAAACCACAGTTAACTAAAAAGTAGAAACAACTCAAACATCCATCAACCAATAAACTGACAAACAAACAGTGGATTATAATTTAGCCATAAAAGTAATTAGGTAGTAACTAAGTCTGCTACAACATAGATGAACCCTGAAAACAGGTTAAGTGAAAGTAGGAAGACATGAAAGGGCAGCTTTGTATGATTACTTTTATCTGAAATTTCCATAGAGGTGAAAAGCAGGTTAGTGCCAGAGGATGTGGGGTTTTGACTGCTATCCAGTTTGGGTTCCTTTCTGTGGTGATGAGAATGTTCTGGAATTAGAGAGTGATGATGGTTATATAATCTTATGAATATGATAATAACCACTGAAGCATGTAGTTTTTTTTTTCTTTTATCCTTTTTACATTTACTTACTGTTTGTGCCACATCCCCCTCACCCCCATCCCACTCCCCCAAGACATACAGTTTAAAATAGTAATTTTTTTGTTTGTTTTTTGAGATACTGGGGTTTGAACTCAGGGCCTAGACCTTGAGCCACTGTACCAGCCCATTTTTTGTGATGGTATTTTTTGAGATAGGGACTCACAAACTATTTGCCCGGGCTGGCTTTGAACAGCAATCCTCCTGATCTCTGCCTCCTGAGTTGTAGGATTACAGGCATGAGCCACCAGTGACTGGCTAAAATGGTAAATTTTATGATACATGAATTATAGCTCACTTTTTAAAATTCATCTAATTATCTCCACAGTGCTAACTTAAGGCAAAGTCACCCTAAGACTAAGACCTTTTCTATATATACCCCAGATACCATAAAAAATTGTAGCCAAGTTTTTTTGTTCTTAATGGACTTAAAAATTCTTCTGCATTCCATATGTCATCTACAAACAAACTGAGGCTGACTGTCTTTTAAAGGGCACTCTTAAGACAGTTTTTTCTATGCTAGGTCATTAATAGATGAGTGTTTTCATGGGCTTCTCACCTACAGGGAATCTCCAAAATAAATATACTACATTAATTCACCTTCAGCTGTTAGTACTCTTCCTTTCCACACACCATATCTCCTCTGTACTCTTTCCCTATGAATTATTCTCGTATCCAGTGATAACTTCCAAATCATGCAAAACAACTTTGAACTATTCAGAGTTCTTTTGGCTTGGAGGGACTTCTGTTGGGAGGAATGGGTAATAGCAGAAACCCTAACAATAACATACTAAAGCACCAAGTACAACAAAAATTCCTCTTCCACTCTGATTAATAAGGCTATTACAACACAAGACAACAGAGAGGGAATTAACTCCACCACACCAACTCCACACAAAATCTAACATCCCTTATCCAATGTTTCTATTCAATCAAAGCAGATATTTTCAAACAGTTACAACAATCTCTCACCTCACGTGCTCTTCTCTGAAAATGTGCCTTGCCCACTCCCCCACTAATAAGTGGGGACATTCCAGACATCCTATGAATCAGGGCAGGTCCTATAACTAGTATAACCAACAGAATGCAATAGAAATGACCTTGGCTTCTTCTGCTCAGCTTCTTGCTAGTATCTTCTGTGACTCTGGCAGCTGCTTCCATAAGAAGTGTGACTACTCTCGCCATGCTGTGAGGGGTCAGAGCATGTGCAAAAGCCCTGGGAGGAAAGATGACAGGAAACAGAAACCAAGGAAGAAATGTATGCAGATAAAGAAGCCATCTTGGGGTGGATCACCAATCTCAGACACTCCCAGATGGTACTACCTAAATCAGAAACAAACTACCAAATGAGTAGCTCACAAATAAGTGAGCAAAAGTGCCCTAAGTGACAGGGACAGTTACTGTGAAGCAATAGATTTTTCTCTACCTATTATAAAACAATGCTTTTCTATTATTGTCTTAATCACTTATATCTGAAATTTGTTGTTTCTAGATGAGCAAAATGTAGGGATGAGGAGTGTTTTTTGGTGTTTGGGGGACTGAGGTTTTTTATTTTGCTTTTTGGAAAGTGGAGTGCTCTGAAAGTGAAAATGACGGTACTAAGGTGCATATCATAATTAAAAGATTTAGTTTATATCAAGGTAAACTAAGACCCTTCTTTTCTTAAGGAATAATTCTTTGATCATAATAAAATGCCTCTTGTATAAGACCAGTACCATTTAAAAACAGCAGTCCAAGGATGGGAGAGTGGCTCAAGCAGTAGAGCACCTACCTGGCAAGTGTAAGGCCCTGAGTTCAAAACCCAGTAACTAACAAATAAATAAACAAATAAATAAATGCAGCAATCTGTTGAAAAACTGAAAGTTAAATATAACTATATGTTAAACTCTTTATCGCCTGAGGTTTACTTACAAAAGAGAAGGGGGGAAAGCTGTATGAAGCAAGGCAAGTTCATATGGAATACAATTCTTTAATTACCAATAAATTATCAGCAGACTTCATCTACTATGCAGTTTTTTCCATAAAATATTTCAAGAATTTGAGTATACATATTCTCTGTCAACAAAAAACTTTATATTCCATTAAACAATTATAAGAAATAGAAAAATGTTTAAGTAAATAATGTTTCCAATTTAAATTCAATTAGGGCCTAATTTGATCTTCTCTAATTTAGTTTTGGTCAATAGCTGGATTGAAACTTTAAAATCTCAAGTTAAAAATATCAAGATTAATCTTTATTAAAAATAAAATGGTACCATTTTAAGAACAAGTATTTTCTCTGAATAAATTAGCAAATGTTAGCTTTTATGAAAAAATATACTCTCCTTTCCATTATGATATGGAAAAGAAACTAAACAACTGCCTTATCCAAGAACATACAAAGAACATATTTGTTCTGACTTCCTACTCCAAAAAAATTTTTAAAAAGACTTTTAACAAACCAACCTAGAACAGAAACCTCTTTTAGTTCTATATGTCAATCAGCTTGCTGCTACTGTTAAATCTAAATATCAGAACCCAGGAAACTAGAGAAGTGAGCAAGGCAAAATAAACAGAAGCTAGAGAAGCATAGATGGGACTGCTGACAGCATCTGCATAAGCAAATTAAACTGCAGACTGAATTATCATTTATAACCAATCAAGCAAGAAGCTGTACAATTTTAACACAGATCCTAAATGCAGCTCAGACTCAAACGCTCAATTACATTTTCCAGGTCAGTGATTTATTATAAAGATAAGAAATTTACTGTAACACAAAACTACTTCAAACCATAGGGGAGAATTCTGGGAAGGAGGAGACCAATACTAATCCCATTGTACACCATGCCTAGCCATCTGCTATTTGTCCCATTACATCCTGAGTCCAGGGTTGTTCTAGTGCATATAAATATGTAAACTACCTAGAAAGCAAGAAGACTATGGGTAAGAAGTGGCAGACCAGACACAGCCAAGACATTCCAGTCATGGGAGTGCCATTACCAGGGCTGTCACTGTACACACACACACACACACACACACACACACACACACACACACACTATAAAAAAGCATATGTAGTAAATGCTAGTAACATTACTTCTTAGTACTCCACTTACAAGATATAGTAAACCAATATTTACAGTGACCAAATTTTTATGATTACTTATTGGAAGCAAACTAATATAGACTCCACCTGCAGGATGTGATCCTCTGTACATCAAAGAAAAGCTCAATGTGAAGTTTTGCAAACAAAGGTATTCCTTGGCTATTGTGAGAGATTGAAACTAAGCTGGGACAATGCTGAATATTTCTAATCTATCACTTCAACCGACAAGAACAATAAATGATGACACATCTTCCAGCTGCTATTTCAAGGGCGCCCTTTACTTAAGCTAACAATTATTAGTCTTATTACTTTTCCAATATTAGCCCCTTTCCAATGATTATGGTCAAAGAGGAAGGCTGTATGCATGTTTTTCTATTCAAAACTGTTACCTTATTAATCACATGGATGGTCTATGTACTATAGTAATTCATTACAGTTCCAGTAAAAGAAGAGATAGAAAAATGTCAGTTCAAACACTATGGCAAGATATTTTTAGAAACAGCATGAAAGGTAGTACTGAAAGGCACTAATAGTATTTTCCTTTAAAAATTAAAAAACTGATTATTCAGAGCAGTTTTACCAATCTTCCTACTGCAAAAACTATTCCAATCACTCACTGCAAAAACAAACAGATGGATGAGAAAGAAACTGATGGCATTCAAGTGTGACTCCATGGTAGGGATGAGAAAAGGGAGCCTCCGAGTTGAGAACACCTGCACCTTACCTTCTTCTGAAGAACATTCACCTTGCGTTCCTTTACATCCAGCATGTCCTTAAGGTCATGGATCTCTCCAGCTTGTGTCCCCTTTTCCTCAGCCATATCCTGAATTTGTTTTGTTTTTTTATTCAGCATGGTTTCCTTCTCTTCCAAACGCAATCGGAGAGCATCCACCTAAGAACATAAGAGTTTCAAAGGGTATTAATTTAAAAGAAAGGAATATAATTACTTTTGAATAGATGTGCTATAGTTTATTTAAAAGTTGACTTATCCCTATTTTAAAGATAATAAAACAGGGGTTGACAAATGGAATTGTAGCAAATTAAAAATCTTCTGCACAAGGAAGTAGAGACAGCCTAATACAAAATGGGAGAAAACCTGCCAGATAGTCAAGAGGGGATCAGAAAAGAATGCAAAAAAAAAGGAAAAAACCACAAAAATTTACAAATAATCTAATCAGTAAGTGGCAAATGAACTGAACAGACACTTTTCAAATGAAGTACAAATGGCCAATAAATACATGAAAAAAATGTTCAGCATAAGGCCCTGAGTTCAAACCCCAGTACCACCAAATAAATAAAATGTTCATAAAAATGTTCAGCATCCTTAGCTGTTAGGAAAATGCAAAATAAAACTACAATGAGATTCCACCTCACCCCAATCAAAATGGCTGCCATCAAAAAAAAACAACAGCCAGGAAAGGTGGTCCACGCCTATAACCCCAGCTATTCAGAAGGCAGGAGATCAGGAGGATAGTGGTTTGATCCAGCATAGACAAAATGTTAGCAAGACCCTATTTCAATCAACAAGAGGGGTGTAGTGGCATGCACCCGTGATCCCAGCTATGAGGGAGGCCACAGGTAAGAGAATCAAGGAAAAACACAAAACCCTATCTGAAAAGTAACTAAAACAAAAAGGGCTGTTGGGGGGTGTGACTCAAGTGATATTAGCGCCTGCCTAGCAAGGTTGAGGCCCTGAGTTCAAACCTAATTATCTCTTAACGACAACAAATGCTGTCCAGGATGGCACGGCGGCGGGGTGGTGGGGGGTTGCAATATTAAATTAGTTCAGCCACTACAGAAATCAGTATGGAGGTTCTCAAAAAACTAAACAAATAGAACTCCTATATGATCGAGTCATACCATCTCTGGGTATATACCCAAAACTATCAAAGTCAGCTTATTATAGAGATACCTGTATACTCATGTTTACTGCAGCCCTATTCACAATAGCTGAATTCTAAAGCAGCCTAGTATCCATCAGTGGATGGGTGGATAAAGAAAACGTGAAATTTATACACAATGGCATTTTACTTAGACATTAAGACAAATGAAATTATATCTTTGCTAGAAAATAAACAGAACTGGAGATCATCATTAAGTAAAATAAGCCAGTACCACAAGACAAGTATCACATGTTTTCTCTCATTTGTGGAAGCTAGGCAAAAATAAAATGAAAAACAGACAAGGTTGTGAAAGTAAAAAGGGGTTACTAGGGAGATCTAAGGGGAAGAGAAAAGGAGGAGTATGGGGGTGGATAAGAAAGTAACAGAGGGAATGAGAATTATCAAATTACATTATATGCATTTGTGGAAATGCCATGATGAAGGCCTTATTATGTAAATTTTAATATACACCAATTAAAAAACTGGGATTCAGTGGAGTAAAATAATTTACACATTATAAAACTACCAAGTAAAATGACTAGAACTCAAAGGCTAGACATAATTCCAGAGAAAATTATCTTTACCATATATCAAAGGATATCAACATAAAAGGAATGGAGGTAGTACCCAGGAACACACAGCTTTCCTCTGAGCAATACAACAAAGCAGTCAGAAAGACTACTGAAAGAAGTAACATCTGATTGGTTTTCAAATGATGAACAGGACATCAGTGGAAGATGGGGAGAAGAGCATAGATATTCCAGGAAGAGAGAAGGAAATATATAAAAATACACAAACATGAAACGGCATATGTTTGCAAACTCATTTGGTACTACTTAGCATAAAGAAGAAAGAGAAAGGCAAGAGATAAGCCTTAAAAGACAGTACATCAGATCCTTGGTATCCACAGGATATGATTCCAAGGGGACCACCAATGAGGAAAAACTGCGAATGCTCAGGATACACAGAGTTGAATACTCTAATTATTCAAATTTATCTATACCATATGTACAGTAGGTCTGAGCACCATAACTTGAAACCACACAGAGTAGGTTACGTTACTGTCACAAAAATTACTGTGCTATACATTAATACTGTTCGCCAAAAACTAGACTTGTTTCATGTTCTTTATCTTTTTTGCGGTACTGGGGCTTGAACTTAGGAGGCTCTTGAGCCATTCCACCAGCTCTTTTTTGTGAAGGATTTTTCAACACAGGGTCTCACCAAGTATTTTCCCGGGTGGACTTTGAACTGCGATCCTCCTGATCTCTGCCTCCTAAGTAGCTAGGGTTACAGGCATGAGCCACTGGCGTCCAGCCTCACACTCTTTATCTTGAATAATGAGGATGTTTGGTTCATTTTTCCCACAATACTACCCATCTTCCACTAAAGACATGCTGCCTTTCAACAAATCTACAATTTTGACTTTATGACTTAAATTAAGCATACTACATGCCCTTTTTGATTTGGGAGGATAATCATAACTTTGACCTTGCCTTTGGGGACACCATTTATTTTGGGGGAAGCACAGTTTCACAAAATTAAGGGCAGGGAAACAGCAGATCACACAATGATTAAACATAACTCAGATAACATGGAACCAAAAGCTTCTCTCATCAACTGAGCTGCGTAATACACACGTGGGAACCTAAAATTTTTTGGTTTTGAAATTTCTTTTGAGTTTTAAAAATTATTTTTTTACCTTTCTTGGTCAAAACCACATGTAATAAATCCATAAATACTGTGGGTTTTCTGTGCATATAATAAAGGTCTTGATTACCAAAATAAAGCACTTGAATTTTATTCTGTTTGCAAATAGAACTCAGTGAAGCTCTATAAGAAAGAGAGGGCTGGGGTATGGCCCAAGTGGTAGAGCACCTGCCTAGCAAGTATGAGGATCTGAGTTCAAACCCCAGTACCACAAAAAAAAAAAAAAAGAGTAAGTTTTTTCATGGTCACATTTATCTTCCACAAAGATTATACTGGGCTGATCACTGGGTACATAATCCCTCTTTTACAGAAGTTACAATCTAATGAAGAAGAAAGTAGCATATTCGGGAGACTAAGACAAAAGGATCGTGAGTCCAAGACCAGCCTGGTATATACAGTGAGACTCTGCCTCAAATATAAAAAAAATTTTTAAAACACGAGACTTGATATGCCTATAATTCCAGCTACTGGGAAGGATCATGTTTTGAAGCAAGCCATGGAGGAAAAAAAAAAAAAAAGGTGACAAGATCCCATCTCAACCAAAAAGCGGAGCATCATGGCATATGCCTATCATTCCAGCTATGTTGGAGGCACAGGTAGGAGAACTGTGGTCTGAGGACAGACCCAGGTGAAAACATGAGACCCTATACTGAAAAATAACTAAAGCAAAAAAGGGTTGGGGTGTGGCTCAAGTTGTAGAGCCTGTTCCTAGCAACTGCAAAGCCCTAAGTTCAAACCGCAGCAAAAAAAAAAAAAAAAAAAAAAACAAGATAGTAACATAGGAGAACACTTAAGTATATTTATAGGAAGTGCTGTAACAGAGGTAAAGTACAGAAGAACTCAGCTTGCTCAGGTTGGAGAAGCCTAAACAACGTAGGAAAGATGAGAAGGCGGCTGGTGAGGAAGATAATGGGAGAACCCTGAGCAGATGCACCACAAATAATAAAGATTAGAACAGATATTAACTTCCTAGGCAGCTATACACAGAAATGCTACTGCACAAAAGAGGCAGGAAATTATGTAAAGGGAGGTTAAAGACAAAGTCCTAATTATGAGAAGTCACAAGTGTTGTGCCCAAGATCTTGGATTTTACTAATAGAATGTAAAGGGTAAAAGAGAGAAGAGCCAATGAGCTTCTTCCTGATGAAGAAGACTTGATGAGTTTTAGCACTTGGAAAAGAGCAAGAACTTCTATTTCTGACATGAAATATATCTGAAAAGCCTCCTGGGTAATAGCTAAAATGCCTGCTAATGACCTAAAAACACCTGCTAATGACCTCAACATACCACCTGATGTGGTACATCAGTTTCTTAGGGTTGACATAATAAAAGATCACACACACAAAGGGTGACTTAAAACAACAGAAAATATTTTTCTCTCACAGTTCTGGAGGCGAGAAGGCTGAAGTGAAGGTGTCAGCAGAGCACAGCTCCAGCTGAGAGCTCTCAGGGAGAATCTTTCTTTGCTCCTCCTACCTTCTTCCTGGCTTGTGGCAATCTTTGGCCTGTAGACCTGTCTGCAAAAAGCCTATCCAAATAGGGTCACATACTGAGGTTTGGGTAGACATGGATTTATGGAGGACACTATTAAACCCACTACACCTATTGCTACAAAATGCCCCCAAATGCAAAGTATAACAAACTTCTTTTTAAATTAATAAATGAACACACATATGCACACATACACAGGTATGCACAGGGATACAAAATCACTAAATGCTAAAAACAGAGAGACCAAAAGTCCAAAATGGAATACTTACAGATAAATTATGCCTGTACTCCTGCTTATTCTTTTATTTTGTGACCTAGAGGACAGAGTTTCGAAGAAGACTCAGAAGAAAGAAAACTGGGTCTCAGGGCAACATGGAGAGAGGATGGAACAGAAAGCAGACTTCTGCACTCAATGGGTGTGACCCTCAGGCATCTCAGTGCTCTGGATACTCCCTTACAGCACTCATTCTCAAACTGTGACCTTGGACTCCTTGCCATTCTTAAAAGCTACTGAAGACCCCAAAAAGGTAAAACTCACAATGCCTGGCACCCAATCCAAAATTACCTGACATGTAAAAATGCAGGAACATGTAACCCATGGTGAGAAAAAAAAATCATTCAAGGTAATCTGACCCAGAATTAACACAGATCATCATATGATGTCACTTATACATGGTATCTCAAAGGTTGAACTCACAGAAACAGACAGGTTACCAGGAGCTGGCAGTAAGGACAGGGATAGGAATGGGAAGATGCTGATCACAAGGAAAAATTTCAGATATAAGAATAAATATATTCTAGTGATCGA